TATGGTCCACCTTAATCTTGTTTTTTTTTTGTAGAGTAATTCAGATAATGGTATTTAATTATTTTACTAATATCTGATTTTTTTTTTTTCTATACAAAGGAAGAGAGTTTCTCTAAAGCTGTAAAAAATTTTTGGATATTGATCGATAAGGAACGCTCTAAACATGAAATTGAGAATATACAGGTTTGTTAAACAACCATCTATAACCTTTTTATACATTTTATCAAGAAGCTAACCAACTATATTAATAGTTGGATTACACCAAACGCGTGTTGAATAATACCAACAACGAAACGCATCAGATACGTAGTATATCAACTAATAATGTAATAAAAACATTAAAACATGCATTAGAAGGTGATTAAAATAATACGGAAAAAAAGAAAAAGTCTGTAAATGAAAAAGAAGAAAGAGCTTATTGCTCAGAAAGTAGTCATATTATACCACCGTCACAACAATCAGAATCATTTGACAATAATTTTACTACACCGCCGCCTCACGGTTATACTACATCATCACCTCACGGTTATACTACACCATTGCCCCATGGTTATACTACACCATTACCCCATGGTTATTCTACACCATTACCCAAGCATCCAATGCTTGTTGATCGTATAAATAATCCATTCATAGAGGAAGATGACATCTTGTTAATAATAGATGATGTCGATAGTTTATGTTTTATTGAAGGAAACCCAGCTGATGATTATAAGATAGGAGAGACCAACATATCACATTTGTTTCGGAAGTATCAAAATAATTCCTTAAATATTGCTAAGACGGATGGCCTATATGTTGAATCCAATGTCCATGAAATACTTTCACTTTCATCGATTTTTTTACTTATTCCCGATTCACATTCAAAAAGGTTCTCCGCTATTAGATGAGATTCACCAACGGATTATCCCAACACAACAAACCGCATTGGACTTAGAGTGTGAAGCAAAATTCAGGGATGCGATAAAGCGAACAATAAAAGAATCGAATGGTCATGCTACGGATTGGTTGATGGCAGAAATTTCCATGAATAATGCATTAAAGGATAATATGTGATTTATAATCCTGGATTGCATAAGGTCATTACCTTTTACGAAGATTAAAAATGATCCAAGTAAAATGTCGATGATAACAACCTATCTGGATCCCATAATGAGGGGGATGTTGCATGATCCTAACAGGCACATTATTGAATGGCCAAATGCTGGCCTCGAAGAAAGTAAAACACGAAAGTCAGAAGGAAGGTCAAAACAACCAGACTTCGTAGTGTCTGTAATTCATCAATTACAGGTATGCAGTGTTATATTTGTAGGTGAAGTAAGTCCACCTTCGGAAAGGAACAACGTATACAAGAATTGTAAGGATTTAATTCGTATAGGCATTTTTATGAAAGATTGTTTGGACTCGTGCATA